AGTCCAGGCTCGGGGCCAGGGAGGTGTGCAGGCTGCCGGCCCCTCTCACACGCGTGTCCCCAGGTTTGTGATCCTGTCCGTGGTGCTCTTCGGCCTGGTCTACAACCCGCACGAGGCCTGCTCCCTGAACCTGGTGGACCACGGCCGCGGCTACCTGGGCATCCTGCTGAGCTGCATGATCGCCGAGATGGCCATCATCTGGCTGAGCATGCGCGGGGGCATCCTCTACACGGAGCCCCGCGAATCCATGCAGTACGTGCTCTACGTGCGCCTGGGTAAGGGCCGCCCGCTCGGTGGGGGGCTGCTCCGGGACCCCGGCCTGAGGGCCACGTCCAGCCGGCTGTCTGTGCCGCGAATAAAGTTTTATTGGAGCCCAGCCACGCTCATTCATTTATGTGCCTCTTGTCTCCGCCTGCTTTTGGGTGACAGCAGCGGAGCGGAGGAGCTGCCATAGAGAGTGTACCCCAAAGTGTGGACTGTTTGCTCTCTGGCCTTACAGAGAAAGTTCCCCGGCCTTGTTCTAGGCCAGTGGTCGGCAAACTGCGGCTCGCGAGCCACATGCGGCTCTTTGGCCTCTTCGGCGGCTTTGTGATCCTCCCCAAACACCCCGTCCTGGGAAGAGCCCTCGGGGGCCTGGACCAGCCAGTTCCCAAGAGCCCCCCCCACCCCCCTCGTGGGCTCCCCCATCGTCCCTGGTGAACATTCTATGAACTGCGGAGCCCTTCCCTCAGGTTCGCTCCGGGAGGAGCTAGTGTTAGTCTCCTTTTACAGATGAGGGGTCCGGGCCGGGGTGCACCCGCTCCCGCAGGGGTCAGAGCTGAGATTGGACCCCAGCCTGTCTGGCTCCAGAGCCTGGGTGTTGCTGCCACACTGTGCTGCCTGCGGAGCTGGGGCTCCTCGCTGGGGTGGGTGCCCAGCAGCGGGGGGCAGGGAGGCTCAGCGCCCTCTCTCTAGCGCTGGTGAGTCGGGGTGTCCCAGCGCCTCCGCCTCCTGCTTCTCCTGCTGCCCCGCAGGGATGGTCGTCTGCAACTGGGTGGTCATCCTCAGCGTCTGCATCACCGTCCTCTGCGTCTTCGACCCCACGGGCCGCACCTTCGTCAAGCTGAGAGCCACCAAGAGGAGGCAGCGCAACCTGCGGACCTACAACCTCCGGTGAGTGGCCAGGCGGCCCCGGCCCCTCGAGCGGCCGGCTACAGGGCCTCCCCCTCCTGCCTCAGGCGCCAGAGGCCTCTTCCTGGGGAAATAGCAGCTTCCCTGCAGTGAACACTCATCTGGTTCTCACACAGTGAAGCAGGAGACCTGGTCACCCATTTCACAGATGAGGAAACAGAGGCTCAGAGAGACGAGGCGACTTGCCTGAGATACGTCTGATTCCAGAGTCCATGGGAGTGATTCTAAAATCCTGAAAGGGCAGGGAAACGCCTCTTCGCCATCACCTTTCCGGTCTCCTTCTCAGGAGCGTCGAGGCCCGAGGCCACCTTACAGCAGGGCGAGCGGAGGGGACAGCCACACTGCCAG